CCATTATTAATAATGAAGAGGATAAAATTAAGACACTAGTAGGTTAACTATTTAGACAAAGTTGTTGCATAGACTAACTTTTCTCTCATAGATTGTACCAATTATGTACCGCAGCCATCCATAAATACTATCGTTTCATCTCGGAAGCCATTCGTCGAAAACTCGTGTCTACTCTCGCCAAGTTTATCAAGCTCGTTTGAACAAGAAGGGTGTGGGTATGGGTGTGACGGTGTGGTTGTGAGTGTGGATAGGGTGTGGATGAGTGCAGTACTCCTGTCATTGATTTACACTCACACGTATCCACACCCACACCCACACCCTCCACACTTCACATCCATACACCCGCACCAATTAATTCACGTTTGCAAATTCTAGCCTTTCAGTTTAGAGAAAATGTCAGTTGAAATTCTATTTCAGTAGGATAGACATAGAGAATTCAAATTTAACATTTGTGAAAAAAGAATAAATAGAAGTACGAATGAAATTTGAAGACAACGTCAAATTCTATGTATTCGGTAGTTCTATTTTCATCTTTGATTTAACTAAACACGACTCTCTATAAATGGATCGAAGAGGCGCAAACATATCCAATGGTAGTAGAACAGATGAATGCGATCCGACAAGATGAAGTTCGAATGACTGAAAAACATGAACGTCCAGTGTCTACGCCAGAGATCTGCGCGATGAGCTTTTGTCTTATCACGATCACGGCATTGATAACGGGAACCATTTGTTTCAGCACTCGAAATAGCATATAATCCTATTTGTTTAGCAATTACTTTATTGAATATGTCAAAAAATATTTGAGAAGAAGTTTTTACACAGATAAATTTGCATTGTCTGTCTTCTGCAAGATCAAGAAATGGATGGAGATATCAGTTAGAATCTGCCGTTTTTTCGTACAATAACGAAGACGGAAAAAATAAAGATGACGTCATAATATTCTATCGTTACACAAAAGAGTAAAACAAAAAGCATATGCCCATATGTCGAGTGAAAAAAAAACGAAAATTAATTGTTTTGACAGATGGTTCTGATCCCATGATAGATATCTCACATAGTAGAATCGAATGAAATAATGAATGAATAAAATAAAACGATGTGGATAACATATATTTTGTTGTTGGCAATACTTCGGTAAGCGGCAATCTTTCAATGTTCTTATAGAATAATCTAACTTGTTGCTCATTTTTAGCATCTCAGGTATGTTGTGTTTTCTCTATACTTTCGTCTATCTATTTTCCATAATTAAGTGAATCGAGTCGACGGTCAGACATGTCAAGATGCCTCGGAATATGATAAATGTTCGTTAAATGATGGTTGTGGTTGTCTTCCTCTGGCAGTTAGCGGCAATGGAGGCATTTGTGCCTATCTTAATACAATCTGCTCCGAATTTAGTTCGTGTGCCGTCGACAACCAGACATGTTTTGAACCCGAATATGTGTGTGTGATGCACACAAATTGCAATACACATCCACTATGCTATCCAATGAGTAGGTCCACTCAAGCTATGTGTCCACCTTGCCAATGACAACAACAGGTAGGTGATGAAATCAGAAAATTTATCATGCTTATGTCTCCCATCGGATAGTTTCTCCTTTATCGGTTGATGATGGTATTTGTGCGACTGCGACATGGAACCGATTTGGTACTATCGTAGCCAGCGGAAGTGAAGATGAGCCTGAATCGGAACAATTCGGATCTCCACATGGGATATTTGTGGATGATGATGATGCAGTCTATGTTGCTGATTGTGCCAAACAACGAGTAGTCAAATGGGTGTCTGGATCATCGACAGGCCAAGTGGTAGCCGGTGGTAACGGGCAAGGCACCGGCGATAACCAGCTAGATTGCGTGACAAGCGTTGTTGTTGACAAGAATGGAACTATGTATGTGTGTGATAGTTATAACCAGCGAGTGCAGCGATGGTTTAAGAATGATGGTCACGGGGACACTATTGTTGTAGATACTCAGTGTTATGGACTGGCGATAGACAATGAAGGATCATTATACATCTCTGATCAAAAATATGATCATGTAATGAAATGGCCCGGTAACCAAGTGGCTGCTGGTGGCAACTCAAGTGGATTTGGTTTGGATGAGTTAAACAGGCTCCATCATGTATTTGTCGATCGGGATCATTCAGTTTTCGTGACTGACTACTATAATAATCGTGTGATGAAATGACCCGTCGGTGCTACAGAAGGCATTATCGTAGCTGGCTGTAATGATACAAATACTTGGTGTAGTGGCTTTGGAGTTGATGAGGATCAATTGATTCAACCATGTGCAGTAGTTGTTGACGACATGGGCACTGTATATGCACTTGATTCGGGCAACCGCCGAATCATGCGTTGGTTCAAAGACTCCAAAGCAGGCACGGCAATCATCGGCGAACCAGGCTGGGATTATGGCACAAATTATCTGGGCAGTCCGTATGATCTGGCATTTGATCGGCATGGAAATCTGTACGTTGTCGATAATAGCAATGCTCGCATATTAAAGTTCTCCATTGACAAAAGTTCTTGTACTGCAGGTAAATTTAAAATATGTCTATTAACTAATCGGCAGATCATTGTCTTTCTCTGTTTCTTTCAGAATCGGGTTAAAGTTTAGCTCTATGGAACTAAATAATATTCAATAATCAATAAATAATTGGTTTAATGTCATCTGCGTATTATCCTATACAGATTTGTTTGAATGAATAAATGCTTAATCTGTTTCATTTAATCAATCACATATGAACAGAAGGTCAAAATCGGGTGTGGTTGTGTGTGGGGGTAGATATGGGTGTGGGATTTTGCGTTCTCCTCATCCATTCACAGCCACCGCCACACAAATACGCCAGCCCCATACACTAACACTTGCAGTGACACACTGGTCCCACGCATCAACACTCATACCCTTTTTTTCTTAAAGTTTGCGTTGTAATGCTATCTTGAGGGATGTGGGTATGGGTGAAAAGAAGACTTGCACGCAAACGCATCCACCCACACTCACGTCCACCATATAGAATACATCTATATACTTGAACTAAGAATAATATATTCATTATGAGGATGGGATGACCACACTTTCGTAACCCTACCTAGGGAAAAAACACTCAACGACTAATATCTATAAATACTGGAAGAGGCTTAAAAACCACCTAGATCAGTCAAAGGAAGCCTCCGCTTTTAATGAAACTTTTGAATCATATATGATCATCACCTCTTCTGAACGTTTCAGCCTATATTACAAAAGTATGGGTGTAGAAAAAAAACAGTAAATTTTCTGAACGACCTGCAGAAAGAGCAAATCATATATATAGAGATCTATTCGATTTTTTTACAACTCAAGATAAACAATTCAAGAGATTTCATCTGCAAATATCTATTCTTCCCTTAAAGAAATTTAATTATGTGACAGATACAGTAAATAAACCAAAAAATTATATACAGAATATCACATCATAGAAAGATGCCTCAAATTATATATAATTTTTTTTTGTAATTTTAACTATTCTCGATGTATCTTCTAATACTTTTATTATTAGATATCATTGTATTCGCTCTTGTTGTATTCTACTTTTCTTTAATAGTTTGTAACAACTACTTCTATCTTGTTTACTTTTTCTACTCTTCGTTCTTTTGCTTGTATTGTATATCTCTACCAACCAGCGATTAAGACCTTTTCAAACAGAAAATGTTGCGAATCAAAATGTCGTACAAGAAGATAGCAGTGAAAAACTGGCAAAAAATGTGAAATGTTTTATTTTATATTAACAAGTGACTTCGTATTTCTAATATGTATTTGTCAGCAAACCCTTTTTTAAGTTAACCCTATTTTTTTGGAGGAAAAAATAAACTAAGTGAAAAAAAAATGAGCTTACAAAAAGTGAACTGTTCATCTTCTCTAGTTAATCCAGAAGAAATTATAGCATTATTAATAGAAAAAAATGTATATACAGAGTTCTTGCATATATATTACTTATTGTGTTATCTTCTTTTTTCTCACACCATTAGATACAGAAGTATTGCTGATGATAATGACGTGCACTAGTCAAAATATCTTGTTGGTGCATGAGGCATTCATTTATTTATTTTTTTTGTTATTTTAATCTTCTAAGTATAAGCAATTCATTAATATTTATTTTGTAAAAGCTCTATAGATTAACATTTGCAGAGAACAATAGAAAGTTTCAACACTTCTTTTAACATACTCAGTCTATTAAATTTTGTGATAAGGCGAACAGCAATTTTCAAGATTACGGAGTATGGCTGTCGCTGTGGGTGCGTCTGAGCGCGGTGTAGTGTATGAAAAGAAAACCTGAACCCACGCCAACATCCACACCCCACACCCATCAACCGCACCCCGCATCCCTAATAAAGAGTATACTGATGAGAAATCAAACAAAGACATTCATAAAAATGAACCTCTGCGACCGAAAAATTTCAAAATAGCCGAGTATTTGTTTTTGAGCCAAGATGGCTGATTTTTGCAACGATTTAGTTTTTGATAGCGGCAATCCTACAAATGATTTTGCAACTGATTGAAAATTTTACATAAGACCATTATTTTGGTTCTACTCATTTTATTCAATATGGAACAATTCATATACCTGTAGACTTTTCACGTTACTTGAATAGAATAGACCTTTTTCAATGAATGAGTTATTGAGTCAACATTAAAAAATTGATGAATATGTCAACTATAGATAAACTTTGTTTTAATTCTTCTTATGAAAAAGTCAAGAAGATATAATTACAAAACTTTTGTTTGCCACATTCTTTCATAAATAAATAATGATAAGAACGGAAAAAGAAATAATCATTTTCTTTCATCTTGTATTTGAAGTATAAAACAACAATTGACAGTGATATATTTGTTTACAAAAAAACTTTTATAAAAATTAAGCAACATTTTTTAAATAAGATTTATTATCAAACATTTCATCTTCTTTTTTTATTTTTATTATATTGATAACGATTTTAGAAAGATAGAATTATTAATTTAAGTAAATGGATAATCAATTTGTTCTACGTCGTGCTGATATAACTGACATTGAAGCATTATCTCAACTTTATCAAAAAACTTTTCAAGAAACATTTATGGAAGATTTTTCAATTCCATATTCTGAAAAAGATCTCGATTCTTATTTTCGTTCATTCGCAAGTCCAGAAAGTTTTGCAAAGAAAATAAACAATCCAAAACGAGCTGTTTGGGTAATCGAAGATAGCACAAATTGTGAACTTGTTGCTTATGCCATAGCTGGTCCTTGTGATGCTGTTGATATTCCTCATCCTGATATTTGTTCAAATAAAGATGGAGCAATTAATCTTTTGTATGTTCGACGTCATCAACGATCTCATGGATTCGGTCAACAATTGATGAATGTCATTTTAACATGGCTGGAAGAACAGTATCCCACAGGATCAATATGGGTGACTGTATCGTCACAAGATCTCAAGACACAAAATTTTTATACACACTATGGTTTTAGCAAAGTCGGCGATTTCGATTCTTCTATTGGAGAATGGAAAGATCATAAATTTATTATGAAACGTCAAACTGGTATATCCTAACTTTTTTTTATTCATTACTTTACTTGTAGTTATTGTTAATATTGATGAAATTGTCTAAAATAAGAAAGTATGTTAGATAATAATACTTATCGTTTTTCTATATATATGTCACTTTCTCTTTCTGTTCTTTCGCTAGGATTTTTCCTTAGATCTTGTATGGATTTCTCCAACATAGTGTACTATTCATCATCCTATATATAGCTATGATTTTCCTATAATAAACAAGATATTGAGTGATAATGTAAAATCATCTTTTGTTAATACAATATTGAACTTGGGAAAATATCAAACGTAAAAAATATGTTTAGTTAGATAGACATCGTTCATAATCATTGATTAGTTGATGATATTATTATTTTCTTCAGCAGAGAAGTTGCTTTTTATAGATTGTAAGTCGACATAGTTGTTTTACTATATTTAATAAAAATAGCAAGAAAAGAAGAATGAATAGCAATTTTGTGATATTTTATTTCAGTAATCGTTCACAGTTAAATTCGTTGAGTTTATGAAAAACTTAATATGATAGAGTGAAGTATTGATCTTTTAAGAAATAAATCAAATTGAAGAATGTGAGTTTAACTATCATTTTTTGATCTTTGATAAATTTTAATACAAACTTTGACATATTCTGAGAAACTCTACATTAGTTAAAGATACCTGCTCAAATAAACCAATATAAGTACATGATGAACACAACTCCATCGATTTTATTTCAGACACTCGAAACGTAAATGTTAAATCGCTTGAATTTAAAACATAGTTTACATTTCATAATAATACTTCAAATTGAATTCATCTGATCGATAGAATTTTGTAATTGTAAATAACTGTGTTGGATTCTTTTCTTCTTCAGTTGTTCAATTTATTTCGGAGATTTAGAAATAAGATGTGCAAATAAAGGAAACTCATTGCAAAGCCTTTCATTTATCAAGAATGGCACGTCGATCATTGAATCTAGAATTTTGATGTTCATCGGAGATATAGATCAAAGAATAGAGACACATAGAAACAAAAATTGAATAGAAAATTAATAAAAAATGGAACAGAATACAGCGTAACTAATAAAATATTCAACAAGTTGTATTTGATGATAACTTTCTGAACAAAAGATAATGGAATTTATTTGGTAGCCATCAGGTGTGAGTTCGAATAGGATAGCACAACTTTTTCTGTTTTTATTTATTGAAAATTATGATACCGATCTATATTAATACACTGGTGTGCTATTAAGCACGTTTTTCATCATATTCGTCGACAATACCTGAAATGGCTAAGTAATTGAATATAAATCAAGTAACAAAGCCATTTAAATGACACATTCCAGCAAAACTATTAATTTGATGCTGGTCTATGTAACACTGAGTGAGTGGGGTGTGGTCCACACCCACACTCGAGGTCTCTATTGCGTCCATAATCTGACATGATATTTATTAATAATTCTTTTGGAATAAAAAAAACAATTGTTCTCATTTTAATTTGTCTTTCTTTACATTTTCTTTTTCATAAAACAAAATTTTAATTTTGATTGGATAAATTTTCAAATTTAACTGAATTTTATTTTTGACTACAACATATTTATATATCATTGATCCTGTCTTTGTTTATCCTGAAAAAAAACCAAGTTGAATACATTGATTGCACCTTTCATTTGGAGAAGGATATAAAAAAAATCTACAATTTATTTTTGAAGAATATTTTTAGTTTTTTTTTCTTTTTTTTTGAAATTATGATTCATGTATCATTCTTAAAAATTAGTCACTTGCCTTGTAGTCATTTGTTGTACACACTCTCTATTGAACAATACATTCAAATCTCATTATGAACATTACATTTGTAAGTTTCTGTTATATTTATTTCTGTTGTTAGTTACACTTGTCACTTTTGCTTTTTACAGTTTTACCATCAGATGTTTTCAAAGTTGTAAATAATCGCATAAAGATCGAAAATTCCCGTCAATAAATAAACATCTACTAAAAAACTAAAACTAAAACTCTTAAATCTACGTGTTATTTTCTCATTTATATGAATTAATGATAAAAACATTTCTGTCTAATTAAAAAAAACACGTTTTTTTATCTAATTCAACCAACTATTCCATGATATCCATGTCCCCGTCGTTTAGAAAACCATTCAAACAAATTTTATTCATCATAGAAAAAAAATTTCAATCGTATTAAACCAATGATTCAATGCCTCCATATCCCAATCATACAAAAAAAGTATATAAAGTTAAAATTTTTTGCAGAAAAAAATTTCTAATCAAATTTAACCAATTATTGAATGCCCCTATGTTTCCATCATTTTAATAGCTACACAAAAAATTTAGATACATTACAAACGAAAGAAAAAAAAATGAGTAAAATACTATATCATTATATAGCAGAAAAAATTTATTTTTCAATCAAATTCAACCAATCATTATATATTCCCACGTTCTTATCGTGTTAAAACTATACAAAGTTTAGATTCATTATGTCAAACAAGTAATATTACAATCTCAACTAGATTCCATACTCGCCTGACACATATATACAAGAGTAATATAGAATGAAAACTTTTTTTAATAAAAATATATCAGCACGAGGAAGAGCGAGAGAAAGAAATCATGACGTCGATGCACAATAATAGAAAAAAAAAAGCATTTGAGAAAGATCTATACGACAGGATAAAAAAAAGAAAAGATAATGCATGAGATAACAATTAGGCTAACCTATGATATTGATGGTCATTTGTCAGGTCTAACGAGGGAACTACCCGAGATGCTAAAAACCTTTTGGGTCGGGGATGTGATGGTTAGATAGGGTATAGCTAGGAGTGATATACCCTAAGATAGTTCGTCCTCAAGCTGCTTCTGGCAGGAGTTATGAATTTTTCAAGTTATAAGCAAAATGTGCGTTTTTGCCTCTAAATCTTTTTTCAAAGAGGAAATAACGTATTAAACTGAAATTTTTGTTATATTTATCTCGATTAATACACATATGTTTTTTCCATATGATGTCTTCTATGAATTTCCTCGGAAACTCAATTTGGAGATATTGAAGAGGCAAAGTAAACAGTTATTTATTTTTTATGATTGATTTTTTCAAGCAAGCATCAGAAAGTTGAATAAATATATCTGAATGGATCGCTATTCAAAGTCAAGCACTATATAAAGATTATCTGTACTAGTTAATCAATATCTCCCATACTAGGACTTAATTGAGTTTCCGTGGAAATTCATAGAAGACATCATATGGAAAAAACATGTACAAACGATGCTTTTGTCATTAAGTAATGAAGCATGAAAAGCTATTAGATCAGGAAAAAGTTTTAAAAATTGTCTTTCTACTTATATCTGTGTTCTTTTGAGATGAAATTTTCAAATAAGAAAGATTATTAATCGAGATAGATATAAAAAAAATTTCAGTTTAATACGTTATTCTCTCTTTGAAAAAAGATTTCGAGGTAAAAACGCACATTTTGCTTATAACTTGAAAAATTTATAACTCCTACCAGAAGTAATTTGAGGACGAAAGTGTTTAAGATAAACAAGACAGTCTATTTCCTATTACACAAGGAAGTGATACAACATATGTAACGCCATTCCAAAAGAGATAAATTCCTCTCTATTGTTTTTTTATTATACTCGCTATTATCTCATCAGTATTAATGTCAGCTTTTGCTTCAATAAACAGTGTCAGAATATCTCTCCATTCATCATAATAATTTTTGGCAAACAACAAACAGAAGATAGACAACGAGAAGGTAAAAAAGAGAAGATAATAAAAGTGAACTCATGCATAGATATATCTACATGCTCGTTTTGACGATAAACAATGTAACCGAAAAGTAGATCTCTTTATCATATTCTTTTCTTCTTGCATAGCTCTCTTTGCAGAATAAATTTTGATCTAAGAAATAACTTTAACATTTTTGATACAGCAATCGCAATAGAAAAACAAAAGTCGACATTCTCTAATTCGTTCGAACACAACAAACTTAATTTATTATAACGAAATAATCAATTGAAACTAAAATTAAAAAGTTTTTTGTTTTTTTCTTTTATTGATTTTCTGTCTTCCTATTCACTATGAAAATGATTTCAATAGAAATGATTTTTCATTCCAGAATTGTTAGAAACTTTTTCCAACTTCAATAAGAAAGAAAAAAAACGATCGCTATTTTTGTCATCTAGTCCATTAACGATAAGTGTCGTTAATGTTGTATCTTTTCTGTTTATCTTGTACACCATTGTCTACAATCTTCAACTACAATTGATTACTCAACTTAGAATGTCGCAACTTGCGAGACTAATATTAACTCTTGAAACACAATATTCATACAAACTTCATGGTTAAAGAGGAAACGGTTATAGGTCAGAGATACACATGATTATTGATATTTATATATAATACGTTTGAGTTTTGATAATAGAAAATAATTGTAAAGTTTTGAAATGCCAGATATACTCCTACCTTTTCTGGTTACATTATTTTCTGAAATGATACCGTAACGGAAATAAGAGTTGTGTATGAGTCAAGTATGGACAATAAAATTCTTAACTATAACCTACTTTAATCCTGTTTAGCTCTATTCACACCAGTGCATAGTACCTTCTGTTATTATTAAGCTCTTTTTTATTTCATCGATAGAATTCAAAGAGAGAAATTAAGAAGCGGAAAGTACTGTAGAACATGAATAATTAAATTATTAATTGAACTATACTATAAATAAAACATTCAAAATGTTTTCTATCGCGATTAAATGATTATTCGAACGGAAGAGCAGGAAACTGTCAAAATATTTAGTCTAAATTGAAAATTCTATTGATAAAGATTATATATCAAATTACTGATTCTAGATATTCATTTTAGTACATTAATTATATCGATTAATGGCACCCGCTATTATCAATTCGCTTCGTTCATCATTATTGGATTTCTTTGTTATATATTCTACTGTTAAAGAGATCCAAGTACACAGTACCTTTGTTGCTGTGCTCCATCGTCTTATTCAATTTTTAATTATCATTTTTGTTGCCTTGTACGTAATCGATGTCTTTCGGACAAAAAAAAAATTTTTTTTGTTTTCTAGTTACATTATCTTGGTAAAAAAGGGATATCAACAATTTCAAGAACCACAAGGTTCTAGTATAATCAAAGTTAAAGGTGTAGTACGAATTTCGATTTATAATTCCAATCTTCATACTGGTATATTTTATTCAATAATCGATAGGTTGAAATACACTTGATCTTTTTTTTAATCTTAGGTAATGCAAGTCAAGCATTGTGGGATGCAGCTGACTACGTTGTACCATCCATTGTATGTGCCTTTCTCTAGTCTATTTATCAATGTCGTACGTGATCTTTATATAGGAAACCAACGCCTTTTTTATTGCTACACGTAAAACGAAAACATTTGGTCAAAGACAAGAAATCTGTCCGAGTGTAAATTATCTTTTAAAATATATCTTATATTGTATGATTCTAATCGAAATTATAGAGTTTGAACGATAACTTATTCTGCAACTCTACATATAATCCATGTAAACAAGGCATGCCGACACCTAATGCATTCGGTATGTGAGAAAGATAGACATTTATGCTAATTCAGATTTTAGATAATTTGCTGAAAAATTTTTGATCGATTGATTTCAAATCATTTGCTGTTAGAATTATAGCTGAAGAAAGAGAGTCGATAAATAATATCTTATAATGCAACAGGTAGGTTTTCCTATCCTTCTCTTTTTTATACTGATGTTTCTTTACCATACGTGACTAATTCGCAACACAATATTCGTTATTTGTGTATTCTTGGAAGAGAAGAATCATATAGAAAAAAAAAGACACTAGCTTTTATAATTTACAGAACTCTGATTTTCGACGGCTAAGTAAAACTTGATCTGCTCTACTTATCGTTTTTTGGTTCTCATTTTGTACTTCTCAATTCATTGAATACTTCCATCATTACAGTGCAGATTCTAATTTATTTTTCCTTCTTGAAATTTTCATACAATACTAAAGCAATGAATCATAAAAGTATTCCGGAAAAAAACCAGTTGTTTATCATCCGCTGTTGTATCGATTACTGAGAGATAGCTCACGACCGACAAACCATAGACAAATTATTTTAAATGAATTCTTCTTTAGGTTTCTTTACTGGAAACTGTGTGCCAAGTCAGGAGAATACAATGATTAATGTTTGTGAAATAAATGCTTGGTGTCCTGAAGAACTGTCAAAGTCTACGTAAGATTTTATTATCATTACTTTCAAAAGTCAGAATATTTCTTTTCTTTTTCTATTGAAAGCGATTATAAAATCAATATTGACGATTTACTCAATATCACAGTTTTTATAAAAACAGCTGTCTCATTCGCACAATTCAACATCAAACTGTTCGTAGTTTTACTATTATTTTATCTAGTAATATATTTCTATGCTATATCTTTCAAATATCTCTACAGACGAACAGTCAAACAGGACACTAAATTTTCATGCCGATTCAACAGTGATACTGATCCACGTTGTCCTATCTTTCAAATTGGATATATTATCAAAAAGCTTCAAGAAAAAGATCGTAGAATAAATCTGAAGGCTTTGTACAACCAAGTAAGTATTAAGAATGAACAAAATTTCAAATGTATTTTAGATTGAAAAACTCGGATACTTGTCAGTAATGTTTTTAATAGGATTTACGTTATGTAAGTATAAATAAAAATTAGAAAACTGACGATATAAACTAAAACTAATTAATTGTTTCAACGAATGAACAATGTTTTGTTGATACTAAAAGATTTGCTTTCTTTCATGTAAAAGTAAGGAAGAATTTCCTTGCCTTTCGAGTACTTTGCGTAATAGACACATGGATAGATGTCGGTCAGTATGTAATCACTGAGGTTTGAACACAGTACGTT